ATCCCCAGTACCAAAAAAAAAAAAAAAAAAAAAAAGACAGCCACCCAGCTTCTGTTTACACCTCTCTTTCTGGGATTGTGGGTCCTGGGGCTTTTCCTTGTGGGGTTCCTCCACAGTCCTCAGATTGGGATCTGGGCACCTGCAGGGGATCTAGAGGCACTGGGCACTCCCCTAGGTGTCCGTACAATTCTCCCATATCCCAACTGTCATCAAACTCATTTCGTCCCAGCTGTTGCCATTCATGTTTCTGCCTAGCAGGGTTCAGATGAACGAAGAGGTTTTATTTTAAATGTAAACAAAATTAAGTGAAATTCAGGGCTCAGTAGTCAGTGACTGCAACTGCGGAAAGCTTTCCTAAGAGTATCAACAGTGAGTCCTCCAGGGGAGAAGACTGGGCCACTCAGTGGGACACGGCCTTCGCCTCTGGCGGATCATCGGCCTCCGGCTCCGCCTCTGGCCCTGGCTCCACCACAGCCGCCGGCGGCCCACCATCTGGATCTTGATTGGCTGCTGGAGGAGGGGGAGGAGCCAGAGGATACAGCCCCTTCCCCCGTTCTGGGGCCGACTTCCTAGCGCAGGCCTCCCGCTTCGCCCCCTGCGCTGCACGCTGCTGCCCCCGCGTGGTCAGAACCCAAGGAGGATCCGCTTTGCTCCCGGTCTCCTAGACTGGCTTGAAACCAGCTTGGGAGGCCAGGTCTCAGGACAAAAAGTTTTCTTTTTTCCTCCCTCCCTACCTCTTTTCTTTTTTCGGTACCGGGGATCGAACTTGGGTCCTTGCGCTTGCGAGCCAGGCAGCAGAACCACTGAGCTAAATCCCTGGCACTCTTCCTTTCTTTTTTGTTGTCGTTGTTGTTGAGATAGGGTCTCGCCATGTAGTTCAGACTGGCCTCGAACTCATGGTGATCCTCCTGCCTCAGCCTCCGGAGACCGTACGGTTATCTGATGTGCTGTCCTTCCCTAGGGGGGCTGTGTGCAGCCCCTGGCTCGGGATGTACAACAGCAATGACATCGACATCAGCCCAGGGCCGAATCGCGCGCGATGCTCTAAAGAGTCTCCCCTCCGCCTGAGGATTCTTTTCGGGTTTTGCCCTCAGAGCTAGCAGCATCTCCTCCCCCTCTCCCTGGATTACGGGTCAGAGCCTCTAAGTCTTCAGTGGAGTTTGGGCTCCACTCTGCCCCCTACCGTCCATTCAACAAACAGCAGCAGGTGGGCTGTTCCTCTTAGAACAGAGCCCACAGACCTTCCTTCCACTGGGAGCTCAAGCCCACCGCTCTCCCTTGGTCACGTGGCTTCTCTCACTCGGGCTTCCTTGGTGTTCTTGAACATCCTAAAACCCTGTCCGAGCAGGGGTGTGGTGGTCCATGCCTGGAGCCTCAGCTACTCAAGAGGCTGAGGCAGGACAATCCACTGACCTCAGAGGTTTGAGGCCAGCCTGGGCAACAGGAACAGAGTCTCCCTACCTTCATTTCAAAAACAAAGCAACAGCCTTTTCCTGATCCGGGCCCTTCTCACTTGCTCTTCCCTCTACATAAAATGTTGTCCCTTTTCCACCCGCATTTTTGTGTAGCTCTTGTCCATTTTCCAGATTTTAGCTGAAACACTCTTCAGAAAGGCTTCCCCCAGCACATTCACCAGATCCAAAATGGGTCCCTAGCCAGGCATGACTGGATATACCTGTAATCACAGCGTTCTGGGAGGCTGAGGCAGGAAGATGGCAAGTTGGAGTCCAGCCTGGCCAATTTAGTGACTTACTGAGACTATGTCTCAAAATAAACAATAAAAAAGATCCAGGGATGTAGTTTAGTGTGAAGGTCCTGGGTTCAATCCCCAATACTGCAAAAATAAAATAAAACAGGCTCTTGTTACTACTGTGTGTGCGTGTGTGTGTGTGTGTGCGTGTGTGTGTGTGTGTGGTACAGGGAATGGAACGCAAAGCCTGATGCTCCTGAGGGAAGTGCTCTACCACAGAGCTACACCATAGCCTCTGCGGTTACTTTTTTTTGGGGGGGGGTACCACTGAGCTAAATCCCCAGCCCTACTTTTGTTTTTTGAACTTACTTCCATCCTCCTGCCTCAGCCTCCTGAGCTCTGGGATTACAGGTGTGTGCCACCATGCCCAGCTTTCATTTTATTTTATTTAGTACTGGGATTAAACCTAAGTCCTCCTGCATGCTATGTAAGTGCTGGTCTTTCTTTTCTTTTTCTTTTTCTTTTTTTTGGTACTGGGGATCGAACTTGGGTCCTTGCGCTTGTGGGGCAGGCGGCAGAACCACTGAGCTAAATCCCGGGCCTCTCTCATGCTGGTCTAAATCCCCAGCCTACCTGCTTTCTATCTTTTCTTCTTTCTTTTCAGAAATGACAGGGTCTCACTAAATTGTCCAGGTTCATCTCAAACTTTTGATCCTCCTGCCTCAGCCTCTCAAGTCCCTGGGCTTACAGGTGTGTGCCACAATGTCTGGGGTCTCTACTGTCTCTTGAATCTGTCCCTGTGATCCTCATAACCCCTGCCCTGGTTCCTGAATTTCTGGAACAGTCTTCTACTTAGAGGACTTCCCAGTCTCTCTTAGCTTGGACACTCCGTTCTGCACACACCAGGTATGAAAATAAGCCTGTAAAATGCAAATGAGATTGTGTTACACCCTGCTTCAAGCTTCAGTGGCTCCCTGCCACTTGCAGGAGGTATTTAAAATCCCTTAGATCAGCACTCAAGGCTGTTCGAGCTCTCACTCCTGCTGTCTCCGGGCATCATCTTAAAACTCACTGTTCCTGCCCACGATGCTTATGATTATACAAAAACTGCCTGAAGTCCTCCTAACCAGTCAAGGTGCCCTAGAAATTCTCACTTTTGCTTTTTTTTTGGTTTTTTGGGGCTCCGGGGATTGAACTCGGGTCCTTGTGCTTTCGAGGCAGGTGGCAGAAGCACTGACCTAAATGCCCAGCTCACTTTGCTTTTGTTTTGAGACAAGATCTTGCTATGTAGTTCAGTTTGGCCTTGAACTCACTATGTAGCCCAGGCTGGCCTCAAACTAGTGTTGATCCTCCCGCCTCAGCCCACTGAGTGCTGTGATTACAGGTGTGCACCATCATGCCCAGCTAAAATTATATTTTGTGATAGAGTCTTGATAAGTTGCCTAGGCTATCCTTGAACTTTCCATCCTCCTGCCTCAGCCTCTTGAATAGCTATGGAGCCAGGCTGAAATAAAATATTTATGTTGAATATACACGTGATGTGGAGGCCAACAGCCAAAGGGCCAGCATGTGGCAGGTGAGGAAACCGAGGCCAGAGTGGTTATCATGGGTTCATTCCCAAAAGTTGCAGAGCTGGCTGGATATTGAAATCCATTTGAACTCACTACCCCACCCCAAATAGACTGCTTCAGTGTAACAACACAGACTCTCTAGTTTCCTGTGAGTAGAACCTGAATTTCCACATGCATGATCTTTGGAGTCTTCAGGCCACAGGTGTGACACTGCTCTACCCTGAAAACCGAGGGCTCTAAGAAATCACCGATATGCTGGCTTCCTCAGAGCTTTCCCTCTTTGCTTTTCTTGTTGTCGTTACTGTTGTTAGTTTGTAGGGTTGTTTTGTGGTTTTTTTTGTACCGGGGATTGAACTCAGGACCTTGTACTTGCAAGGCAGGCGAAGTGCCAAGAGCTAAATCCCTGGCCCCCTGTTAGTTTGTGTTTTGAGACAGGGTCTCACTATGCAGTTGAGGCTGGGCTTGAACTCACTATGTAGCCCAGGCTGACTGGAACTCAAGACGATCCTCCCGCCTCAGCCCCCCAAGGGCTGGGATTACAGGAGAGCACCATCATGCCAGGCTCCTTTAGGTGAAGGAACCCAGGACCAGACATGAAGGAAAAGGCCTTCCTCCTTCCCTCCTGGCCCTGGTGCCCCAGGCTGCCCTCTTCTCCACAGGGCTGGAAAGGGCCTGGGAGCCAGAGGGCGGACAGCAGGGAGTGAAAAGAACCCTCTGTCCACTGGCACAGCTGCTGCCATGGCAGCCAGAGGCAAAGGAGGTCACCATTGATCCTATGGGCGCTTCATTTGCTGCGCTGTGGCCTGCGGCAGGGCCACAGCGGGGCTGTGCTGGAGGGGCCCATGCAGCCCCTCGTTCTGTGCCTCTTGTTTCTCCAATGCAGCTGAAACCCCTCCCTGCCAGGCCCTACACTCCTACACTTGATCTTAGCCAAAAGGCCGAGAAGCGATAGGCCTTACACTCCTTCCACAGCGCTGCAAGATGGAGAGGCTGTGGAGTCGCCCGGGGATGTGGGATGTACAGAGAGGTGTGCAACACCCGGGGAAGGCAGGAGAGCACCGCGTTTGGGGACTCGGGAAAGCCAGGGATCCCCAACAAGGACCCCAGGTCCACATCTTCCTGTTACACGACCCTCTGGACCGTGACCAGAGGTCCTGCCCCGCCCGGCCCCGACCAGCCGGCCTAGCGCCCGCCCAGAGGACCAGGCCGTCGCCACGCGGAGGCGCTGCTCTGTGCACACATCTGGGGGCTCTCGGCACAGCTGGGTCGGTACCGACGACCGGGCCCAATGAGTCAGGAGGCCGACGCAGCATCAGCGGCCAACTCCTCTGGGAGCACCGAGTCGGCCCTGGCCCGGGCCCCGCCCTCGGGCTCCGCCCGCGCCTCCCCCGCCTCAGCCTCTGAGCCGGAAGCCCCCGCCGCCGCAGACCCCCGGAGCCCCTTCCTAGTTCCCCTCCCTCCGCTGGTCCGGGAAACCACTCTCACCCTCCCCCCGCCCCGCCCTCTTCCTCCCGCTCCAGCCCCGCCCTGCTGGGGGGGGGCACCCGCCAGTCCCCGCCCATTTCCCCACCCAATCCCCCGCCTCCGCCTTTGCTTCTTCCACCCGAGGCCCTGCCTCCAGGCCCCGCCCTAAACCCCAGCCGCCAGGGCTCCGCCCTTGGCCCCCTCCCCTCCTCCCTTCACGCCCACTTCCCTCTTGGGTCCTGCCCGGGCCCCGCCCCCGACCCCCGGAAACCTCTCCCCGCCCGAGGCCCCGCCTCCTCGAAGTTTCTTGGGCGCCCGGCGGCCGGCGGGACAGAGCGTAGCGAGCCGCCGCCCGGCCCGCGCTGATGGATCCCGTTGAGCCCGCGCGGACCGGGCAGTGAGTGGCGCGGCGGCCGGACCTCAGCGCGCTGAGTGCCATGGAGGAGGAGGTGAGGGCCGGGCCGGGCGCCTCAGAACCTCTCTTGGGGTTGGGGTCCCGGGCTCAGGCCCTGGCTGCTGCCCGCCCCCTTCCCCTCGGCCTCCGACCCCCGGGCCAGTGTGGGCGGATGGGGCAGGGGCAGGGGCAGGGGCGGGTGGAGGTCGGACCGCGCCCTCCCTCTGTGCGCCTTCGCCTCTTCTCACCTGCTGTGGGGAAGTCGCGGTGGTTGTTGTCCCCATTGGGGTGATGAGGAGACTGAGGCCCCGGCGAGTTCGGTGACTGCCGAAAGCGGCCTGGTGGCTGCGCCGCAGCCCCGTTTCCGTTGAGCCGGGCGTTTCAAACCCAGGGCGTGTGCTAGCGGGAGGTGGCTCCGGGGTCCCTAGCCCAAGGAACCCGAGGTCGTGACCCTGCCCGTGGCAGGAGGACTGAAGAGACTGCTTTCTTCTCCCGATTGTAAGTCCCTGTGAGTCCCCTCTCCCTTCCCTACCCCACATCTGAGTCAGGGCCCCTGCCTTCCCCACATCCCTGGAAGGGCTGGATCTTCGCTGCCCCCGAGCCTCCCTCTACCCTCCGAGGACACCCTGAGGTGGGGTCAGGTACTCTGTGACCTCTACCCTTTGCATGCATAGGGCAAGCACTTCACCTATATCTGTGGAACAAACAAGAGAGTAACTTTTCTTATCCCTTAGATGGTTCCCAGCTTCTGCTTTTCCAAGCCCCAAGGAAGGGGATGTATGTGCCTGGATGGGTGGGGACGAGAGATGAAGCCTTCCCTAGTAGGGCAGCCCTGGCCAGCTGGGGAGCTCTGAGTGGACTAGGCTGCCTGTGTCCCTGTCCGTGTCCACCTCCCTACTTCCTGGGGCCACAACCTGGGAGAGTAGGCTGCCTCTTCCCTCCAGGCCAGGCCTGCATTTCTGTAGGATGGTAGATAAGTCACTTCCCCTCTCAGCCCACGTTTCCTCTTCTATTAAAACAGGACCCAGGGCCGGGGATTTAGGTCAGTGGTTCCACCGCCTGCCTCGCAAGCACAAGGACCAGAGTTCAATCCCTGGTACCAAAAAAAACCAAAACCAAAACAAAAAAATGGGACCCAGGCTCCTCCCCAGCCTACCTCCGGCTGTCCTCTCAGGGTAGCGGGCAAAAGCAGACCACTTTGATTTGTTGTGGTTTCTTTCTTGCTATCACAGGTTGGGGCTGCCCGGGAGGCCCCTCCCCTGTTCCTGGGGGATATGGGTCGGGATCACCCCGTCTCCTGATCTGCTCTGGGCCCCCAGTTAGAGGAAGTTCTCCTGGGTCCTTCTGGGCTCAGCTGGGCTCTAACCCTTCATCTTGCTACTTCAGACTCCCAGATACCTGAAGCTGAAGGAATACCCTGTCTTCCCCAGTTCTTCCTCCCAGCCACCAGCCCTCACCCACACAGCCAGGGGCTCCCTCATCCTCTCCCTCCCTTTGGCATCCTCCACTTCTTCCAGTAGCTTCCCCTTGTTTTTCTAGGCCTCATCCTCTCTTAGACCACCTCTCTCAGCTGCTCTTTCCTGTGACCCCCAGCCACCCCATCATCTCCCTTCCACAGGGCTGCTTTCAGCCCTCCTGCTCGCTTAGGGCTACCCTGCACCCAGACCCCTTCAGCCCCAGTGACCTCCCGTGCAGTGCGCTGTCATCCCTGTCAGCCTGAAGCTTGTGAAGAAGTGCTGGGCTGGGCCCTGAGCATCTGCCCACCTGTGCCCTCAGTTTCGCCATCTGTACACTGAGAGGGGCTGGGGATCTGGGAATGTGAGGAAAACTCAGGGGAAGTGTTGCAGCTGCCGCTGGAGAACAGCTGGAAACCTCAGGTCTTCACTTCCTGTGTCTCCCCCCTGCCCTTCCCCTAGCTGGTCATTTGCCCTGGTTCCAAGCTGCCCACTTGCTGTCACCCAGCTTGAGATAGGGTGGGCAGTGTCCTGTCCCAGCACTGGTGTTGGGCTAATCTCTTTCTCTTTCTGCACTTGATCTTAGCCAAAAGGCTGGAAAGTGCTTTCCTTTTCTGGGGTATACTTTCTCTTTCTGTAGTGAAGGAGGAGGGACTTTGATTCCTGGTTTCCCTTTCCTTCTCTGGGCCAGGTAGGCTTCCCTTCCCTTCTCAGCCTCACCTTCTGCAAGGGCTTCCCCCACTAAAACCAGCAGAGTGGTGGGACAAGGGATCTTCTCCCAACAGGGGAGACCCATGCAGCCCCCAGACTGGAGCTGTCTGTGTGTGTGGCCCCCATCAGACTGGAAGTTCCCGAGGCAGAGTCTGTGCCTCCTGGAGGGTTCTCAGGAGAGCAGGGTCAGAGCATCCCTGGGCTTAGTCTAAAGGCAAGTGTCATCATGAGCTGCCTGTGATGTGGGGTGCCAACAAGATTGCTGCTTCTATTCTGTTGTTGGTTTCTTTGAGACAGAGTCTTGGTATATATTCCAGGTTGCCCTTGAACTCAAGGCTATCCTCCCGCCTCAGCCTCCAAGTAATGGGATTACAGGTGTGCACTACCATTCCCAGTTTGAACAACAAGGCTGCTTCTGCTGGTCTCTGTCATAACCTTGTGGTTTTCCATCTGTTGTCTTCGATGTCCAGGGTCAGGGTGACCTGGGTTTTCTTTTTATTTTTGATTTTTTTTTTTAATGGATGACCCAGAGACCTTCCTGTGTCAGACTTAGGGGAGCCAGGGTGGTGCCTAGGGTGTCAGGAGCTGCTCAAGGTGGGTGGGAGAAAGCCTGCCAAGGATGGATGGGAGGCGAGGGGGTACAAGAAGAGCAGTGGTCAGCTGGTCAGTGAGAGGCGAGGAGGCCGAGAAACTGGGCTGAGCAGGACAAAACCTCTCCTGTGAACCCTGCCAAGGGGCGGGGCTCCTTGTTAAAACTCCCTGGGGCTTAGCCGGACCCCCTGGAGGGAGGCGGTCTGAGGGCCAGGGATGGAGCTGGACGAAGAGTGGAGGCCTCCAGCCAGGCGCCCTTAGGATGGCTGGACTTTGCTGCAACCATCCGCAGCCCCTCGGTTGTCTTGCCCTTCACTCCCATGGGTCCCACCCATCCTCCCAGGCCTTGGACTGACCTCTCTAGCTAATCCAGACATGGTGTTCCCGGCCACTGTGCTACAACAGCCTGGAGGTGACATGATCAAGGCCCAGGGCTCCAGCATTGGCCCCAGAGCTTCCAGTTTGGGGGATGTTTTCAAGTTTCAGCAGCTGGTGGGGCTGGGAAGCTCACAAGTGGAGTGAGTTGGGAAAGGGGTGTGAGGTCTCCTGAGTGGGTGGGACCCCAGAAAAGCAGGATACAAGCTTGGAGCTGAGAGGCGGGAGATGCAGCAGTAGCTTCCACCACTTAGTTTAAGAGAGGCATTGAGGGCCTCAGCAGAACCAGGATGCCGGAGCTGCTGAGAGGAGGGGTGTGCATGTGGCGGGTGTAGGGATGGGGGTTCCCATTGTGCGGAAGTTGGTGCTTGGTTGGATGGGTGAGCCTCCCCTTGTTGAAGGGCCCTGGGGTCCCCCATTCCCCTGGACAGGGCAGCTCATAATTGGCCAGGCCCTCACTTCCTCCTTCCTGCACCCAGGAAGACTGCTTGGACCATCTTGCTTCCCCATTTCTCTGCCATTGACAAGTCAGGGAGAGACTCTGAGGGGGCTCCCCACATCCCTGGAGCGCCTGGAAGTCAGGCCAGCATCTGAGGTCCAGAAATGCCTTGTCCAGATGAGCAGCTGGACTCAGCAAGAGGGTCCCTGAGAGCTAGAGGGTGTGGCAGTGACAAGAATGACGGCAAGGACAACTGCTATCTCCTAGGTTTAGGTATTTAGGTTTCCAACAAACTGCTTTTCCCGGCTTAGCTTCATTCAGCCAAAAATGTTCATCAAGCACTTAGGCGCTATCAAGGCATTGGGGACAAAACCAAAATCTCTGCCCCTAGACTCATTTCTTACAACAACCACTGCTAATATCTCCATGTCGTGGGTACACCGAAACCTAGATGAGGTAGTTTGTCTCCCATGTTCATGACTTGGGGTCTAAAGCCCAGACTCCCAATCGCCAGAGTGTATAACTCCGGGAGGTGGCGGTACCTTGGGGACAGCCAGGCTGGGGCTCCCCTGCCCAGGTAGAGCTGGGAAGCCAAGTCTGCCCTGCCCCTGACAACTCACCACTTATCTCTGCCTGGGCTCGTCTTCTGTAGACAGCTGTGGCCGCAGGCCATCCCTGGGGAGGGGCGTGGCTCTTTTAACCCAGCCCCTTTTCTGCATTTTATGTAAATTATAATGTAATCAAGATGAGTCAGGGCCAATTTCCTTCTAACATCCTCTAGATTCGGACATGTTCTTGACACCCTCTCCCCCATACCCCCTTTTGCACTCCACTCCCTACCCTGGGTACCAGTGAGGGAGGCAAAGTGCTTAGCAAATGGGGTGTATTTTTATTTTCATGCATCTAAGCCCATCTGGTGGGCATGGACTTGGACCAGCTGCCTGGGCAGGTAACGCATGGAGCACAAGATACTGTAGCCACCCCAAGGCTGCAGGGTGGCCACCCCATCCAGGATGTGGCTTCAGTTGAGTGCCTCCGGTGCCAGCCTGTGGTTGAAGAAGAAAGGGATCTTGGAGCCCTCACCAGATGGGCGTCGGCATGAGAGTCCTGACTGGAGTGGGACGAGGACTGTGCAGCCTCTGCTTTGGGTCAGGAAGCGTGAGGGCTGCATCTGGGTCCTTGCAGGGTGGGGTGCAGAGGCAGAGTGCTCTTCAGCCTTCCCGATCCCTCCCATCCTTCCTATCCCTGCTGAAATGTCCTTTCTTCCAGCAGGCCTTTCAGGGGCCCCCCGCCCCCCCCAGCTAGTCCCCACTGTCTTCTCACTGGCCCCTGTTTCCATCCTTGGGGGCATCTTGCACTGGTTAATGTGTTTGTGTCAGGTGTTTTTTTGTTTTGTTTTTTTTTTTGTACCGGATCGAACTCAGGACCTTGTGCTTGGGAGGCAGGTGGCAGCACTACTGAGCTAAATCCCCAGCCCTGTCAGGTGTTTTTTTATTCAGCTCCCTCTTTTCCCCAACTGTGAGCTATACAAGGGCAGAGGCAGCATTCATTTGATTCTCGGGCAGCTTGAGCACCCTGGATGTTTATTGACTGGCTGAATGAACACAAGGAGGCGGAAGGGTGGAGTGGGAGAAACAAGGGGTCAGAAAGACCTGCTTTGAATTCTGGCTCTGTCTCTCCAGTTGGGTGACTGTGGCAAGTCCTGTCTCCTCTGAGCTTCATTTTGCTGTGACATGTGGATAACGGTGCTGGCACTTGGGAGAGGAATTGTCAGGGTTAAACAAGACTGTGGATGTGAGATGCAGTATGGTGGCCTAATGGAAAGTGGCTATTAGCCACTTTAGCTGCTATTAGTCAGTCATCATGTCTCCTCTTTTCTTTTTTTGGTACCAGGGATCCATCTTGAGTCCTTCCACTTTCGAGGCAGGAGACAGAACCACTAAGATAAATCCCCAGCCCAGCTAAATCCCCGGCCCTCCTCTTTTCTTTTTTCTTTCTTTCTTTCTTTCTCTTCCTTCCTTCCTTCTTTTTTTTTTTTTGGTGGTACCGGGGATCGAACTCAGGACCTTGTGCTTTTGAGGCAGGCACGGTGCCACTGAGCTAAATCCCCGGCCCCTTTCTTCCTTTCTTTCTGACGGGGTCTGATTATGTTGCTCAGGATGGCCTTGAACTCACAATCCTCCTGCCTCTGCCTATGTAGTAGCTAGGATTACAGGCCTGGGCCACGGTACCCAGCTTGCTGTTATTTTGGATAGTGCATTAGGATTGCAGGGAACCTCACACAGGAAGGCATTGTTAGGTACCCGGGACAGCCACACATCCCTTGTGCAGCCTGTGGAGCATGTGGCCCTGTGGCAGTGGCCTTCACACCATGTCCTGGTGCTGTCTGTCTTGCAGGGCATGAAGGAGGGTTGCGAGAAGCCTCATGGAGCACGGACAGCAGACAAGTCTGGTTGGATCAAGAAGAGCAGTGGGGGCCTCCTGGGCCACTGGAAAGATCGCTATCTGCTCCTCCGTCAGGCCCAGTTGCTGGTCTATGAGAACGAGGTGAGGACAGGCTTGGCCCTGATGCAGGGCAACCCTGGGTGAGTGCTGATCTCTGCCAGGTCTCTGTGTGTGACATGGGACAAATCTAGTATTGCTGGATAGAGCTCACTGACCCATAAGTACTTATAAGCATGAGTCTCCTCAACTGTCTACCGGTGTGCAGAGCTTCTGGCCCCTGGGCAGGGTTCTGTATAAGTAAGTCCTCCAAAAAACTGAAGCCTGCTCCTTTCAGCAGTGGCAGCAGAAATACTGACACTTCATACTTATTTGGAGCTCTTACCTATCTCTCTCTCTCTCTCTTTTGGTTTTTTGAAATAGGGTCTCACCATGAACTGGCTTTGAACTCATTATGTAACCCAGGCTGGCCTCAAATTTATGGCAATCCTCCTGCCTCAGCCTCCCATGTGCTGGGTTTACAGGTATGCACCACCACGCCCAGCCATACTTCTCTGAAGATGTGAGAGTGCTCATCCTGTTACATTTTTTTTTTTTGGTACCGGGGATCAAACTCAGGTCCTTGCACTTGTGCAGCAGGTGGCGAAACCACTGAGCGAAATCCCCAGCTCATCCTGTTACATTTTATAGAAGACGATCTGAGGCTCAGGGTGGCAAAATGACAGTGAGTTCATCATCTCAAATGATTAGAGGACTCAGGTCTAAAACCACCAACAAGTAAACTCCGAAACCTATTTTTGGTGGAGTTTCTTTGAAATATGTTAAATATTCTCTGCCTTCTTTAACAGAAGATGCTGGCCTAAACTTACTCTTTCCCTGGTGGCCCGGAGTCACTTGTCAGTCTAACCTGTACCACCAGACCGTGCTTCTAGCTTTTCTTTCTCCTTCATTGTGAAGCTCCCAAGTCCCACTTCTTTTTTTGGGGGGCGGGGGTACCGGAGATCGAACTCGGGTCCTTGGCCTTGTGCACCAGGCGGTGAAACCACTGAGCTAAATCCCCACCCCTCAGGTGCCACTTCTGCAACGGTCCTCATGTCTTCCTGCTTCAGACTCTGACTCTCCTGGTTCCAGCAGGTTTGGGATGAGCATAACTAAGGACGCTAAAATTGTGCGCAGCATCAGTTAGAGCTGGCGCAAGACTGAGGAGGAACTTTTCCCTGTAGATGTGGGGTGGGTCCTGGGCTTGAGGCTATCAGAGAAGGCTGTCAGGGCTGTCACTGTGTGCCTCTGACAGCTGGGACACAGAAGGGCAGCGGGCAGGCAGAGCCTGCCTCTTCCTTATCAGTCTGTCCCAGCTTCCCTGAGTGTATCCTGGGAAATTCCTCAGTGTCCCAGGCAGAGACTGACTGGGCAGCCTTGCTTGAGTGTTCACGGAGTTGCCTTGAGAAGCTCCTGACTGTCCCGCCTGAGTCCCTGGGTTCCTGGAGTTGGGGTGTCGGGAAAGCAGCAGGCAGAGGGAAAGGGGATGAGGGTGCCCAGGCAGCCCCCCAGATGTTCTGTACATGTGCCGCAGCTGGGAATGTGGCTGTGAGGGATATTTTTATAAATAAAGGGGGTTGTCAAAGATTCCTCCAGTGTCAGCTGCCGCGAAAGTGGAGTGACAGGCGCCCAGCTGTCAGCCTGTTAGGTGCCACCAGATTTATCCTAAACTGCTTTCCACATCTGGCCGCAGCTGGGAAGCAGGAAGGACTTCATGTCTCCAAAAAGAAAAATCCAAATCACACTTTTTGAAAAAAATGATCACTATTTAAAAAAACTTCAGCGTCACCTCAAGAACTTAGCACTCAGGGATAGGGAAGCCCGGCCCAGGAGTGGGAATTGAGAAATGCTTATTAGCTCAATTCCTCTTTCTGATGTAAGGATTCAGGCGATTGCAGTGCGGACAGCTCTTGGCTGTTTCTCTGCTGTCAGAGAGGCTGATGTTCCAAAGATGCTGCCCCCGCCCAGTGCCTGCTGCTTTATCCAATTTTCTGAGCTGCAGGAGGGCCCGGGTGATTCAGCATTTTGGGGGGAGAGGAGACCTGGGCAGGGACTTGGATGGTGGAGGACTGACTCTGGGTTTGGGGAGGTCTTGTGCATGAGGGGCAAGCTGCTCTCGTGGGAGCCTCCCTCCCCAGTGCCCAGGGAGCAGGGGACTTCCTAGGGTCTCACTCTGGTCTTTCGTGTGTTCCTCTCAAGGGCTGCCTTCTGTTGGGCCCCGTATGGGGCACAGAAAGGGGACAGATACACACAGAATGGGGTGGAGAGAGCTGGCCAAGCAGGGGTGGGTCAGCCTGTGCTTGTCCATAGCTGGCTCTGAGGCCCTAGCACCTAGTAGGTCTCTGTCCATGGCAGGTGCTTTGTGGGTGTTTGTGCCCCAGCAGGAAGTGATGGGAGACCCTAGGGAATGGGAGACCCTAGGGAATGAGAAGTCTAAGAACTGCAATTGTGGGGGGTTTCAGGAGGCTTCTCCAAACAGGAGGCATTTCTGGCCATTGTGTTTTGTGGAGGAACCTAGGAGGGATTGGAGACTCGAGGTTAGAAACGGACACAGGGAAGCAAAAGTGAGAAGTGATAGCTGAGTGAACCTGCATGGAGAGATCAGGCCCCCCCGCCCCGCCCATCTGTTCCCCTTCCTGTGAGGGCCAAAGAGAGAGTAGATCAGTGGTTATCTGCCTTAGCTGTATAATCATCTGCTTTAAAAAATACTGAGGTCTGGGGCTGGGGATTTAGCTCAATGGTTCCACTGCCTGCCTCAAAGCAAGCGAGCAAGGACCTGAGTTCATCCCCGGTACCAAAAAACAAACAAGCAAATAAAAAATACTGAGGTCTGGGTTGTTGCCTAGGCATCAGAGATCCTCATTATCTTTGGTCTGGGATGTTGCCTAGGCATTAGGCTCTTTAAAAGCTTTAGGCCACTACTGGGTGTGCTGCAGCACACTTGTAATCCTAACACCCAGGAGGCTGAAGCAGGAGGATTGCCACAAATTTGAGGCCAGTCTGGGCTGTTTAGTGAGATCCTATCTCCAAAAAAAGCTTTATGTGGGCTGGGGATTTAGCTCAGTGGCACCATACCTCCTCGCTAGCGCAAGGTCCTGAGTTCAATCCCTGGTACCAAAAAAAAAAAAAAAAAAGCTTTATGCTACCAAGATTGAGAATTTATGGTGAACTGTAAACTTTCTCGTACATCATGCCTCGTAGGAATCACCCGGAAGATTAGGTGATATTCAGATTTAGCAGGATGTGGTGGTGCATGCCTGTAATCACAGCACTTTGGGACACTGAGGCAGGAAGGTTGGAAGTTCAAGCCCAGCCTGGGCAACTTAGCTACTTACCAAGATCCTATCTCAAAATAAAAAGTAACAAAAGTCCCAGGGGTTGTAGCTTTTGCAGTTCTGACTGCAAAAGGCCTATGTCCCTGCGTTTCTGATTCGATAAGGATGGGGCCAAGGAATTTTCATTCCTAGCAAGTTCTCAGGTGGTGATGCTGCTGGCCAAGGTGCCTCACAGGGAAGACCTGGGTGGGATTGAGAAGGTGTTCATCATGCCACGACTCAACTTGGGAGGAGACTGGTGTGCTGGCAGGGATGTAGGTGGGGGGCCTGCCCCGAGTTGGGACAAATCTCTTCCCTTCCAGCCTCTTGCCTGTGAGTCTCTGGTGAGACTGTAGACATTTAGGGTCTTGTGAAGCTCCAGGAATCAGGAAGCTGCTTGGCGGACAGGCACCGTTGGTAGAAGGAAAACCCTGAAGTCCCAGGACTGGTGGGTAGTGGCTCACCTGGCGCCAAGGCCTCAGAGTGGCAGCTGGGGCTTGGTGGGATGCCTGGAAGTGAGCCTCCACCCTTGGTGGCATGTGGTTCAGGCACCAGCCATCCTCCCCAGCCGGGGCTAACAGAGGAAGATGTTGGGTGAGGGAGCCACCTCAGGATTGCTGCTGCAGGCAGGATGTGTGGCCCCAACCGTGCCTTGTCTACGCTGCCCTCTGCTTCTGTGTTCTTGGGACCCCTCCCTGCCCCATTCTGTGACAGACCCTTGTCCTCTCCCAGGTGACCTCTTCCACAGATCCCTGCCTGGCTTCTGGGCCTGCACAACCCCAGGGACCCTTTCTAAGCCTCTCCTCTGGCCTTAGGCACCTTAGACTCAGCCCTCAGCCACCCCCTCTTTCTTATCTGGATGGGGAACTCGAAGGCATCCCTCTAGCCAGCGCAGACTGGGCCCTGGCCACTTGCCAGGGTCTTGGCAATATGGCAATGTGGTATCCCCTGAGTGGAACCAGTGCCTGAGCCGTGGCCTGGTGTCTGAGGGTCCTGGTGGGTCTGGGTCTCATCACCAGGTGTCCCTTTGTCTCTCACTAGGATGAGCAGAAGTGTGTGGAGACAGTGGAGTTGGGCAGCTATGAGAAGTGCCAGGACCTCCGTGCCCTCCTCAAGCGGAAACACCGCTTTATCCTGCTGCGATCCCCAGGGAACAAGGTAAGGAGAGGCCTGCTGCCGCACCCTCCCTCCAGCCAGGCTCTGCTTGGGAAGAGCATGCCTAGGGTGGAGCCAGGCTGGACCCCTCAGCACAGCCAGTGGCTTCCCCGTTGGTGTTGGTTTGAGGCTGCAGCCTGGTAGCTGCCAAAAGTTGGACCTTCTGCCTCTTTTGTCTTGAAGGCTCCCAGGGCCTGTTTGATGAGAGATGTGCTTGAGAGGTTCCTTCTGGGACATGGTCTCTGGTCGGCAATACTGCCCTGGTGGGAGGTGGCCCGGCCCTGACCTGAGCTCTGCACACAGGAGGTCCAGGCTGAGGCCGGGGAGCTGTGGACAAGGCCTGTGGAGCCTTGCTGGGTGGGCTCTCTCCTCACCTTCCTGGGTGCACAGCCGGGACCCCCAACCCCCGGTTTCCTCTCTTGGCTGTAGCCAGGGAAGGTCGCTTGCCTGGGAGACTGCTCCGGTGCCCATGCTGCCCGCTGTTCTTCCCATTCTTCCCAGGTGGGCGGGGAGTCTGGCGGTGGACAAGGCGCACTTCACAGACATCAGAGGGAGTTTAGGGTGGAGGCTGGTGGTACCACGTCTGCCGCCAGCTCCTGCCACACCTCGCTCCAACCTCTGCCTGTCACGCGGAGCCTCAGCATGGCTGAGTCACACAGAGGCTGGGGTTTGAGGAGCAGGTCTGGTCTGGCCTGCTGGGGCCACTCTTCTCTCTTAGATACAGGGCCAGCGGCCCAGAACTCTGTGGTCCCTGGGCCTCTGGAGAAGACCATGAGTTAGCACAGGGCCAGGGATTTAGCTCAGTGGTTCCTGCAGCTGCCTCGAAAGCACAAGGTCCCCAGTTTGATCCCTGGTACTAAAAAAAAAAAAATCAATTACTGATTAGCCCAATGCCCTGCTCTGCAGGGGGCGAGGGAGGACAAAGAAGCCACCAGGACAGCAATGGGGGCCTTGGAGCCATGGCACTGAGGAACTGGAGGATGTACCCCAGGGTAGGGACCACATTAGTGTGTCCTTGGGATCACGGGGCTGGGCCTGGGGACTCTGCCTCTGGTGCCATGTGTGTCTTTGTTTGAGAGAAGCAGAGGCCATATGTGTCTGGCCATGTGTGTGCACCCCAACATAATGCAGGCCGTCTGCCCCGCTGTGTGTGTACTCCTTTATGTGCAGGGTGTCTGCCCCACCTCGCGTGCAGTGCATATCCTCCTTGCCACGGTTCTCTCAGCATCTTTGTGTGTGTGTTCATGTGGAAGTGGGGCTTTCTGTCCCCTGCCCGCGCTGGTCTGTGGGGCGCCTCCTCTCCCAGCTCTGAACACCACTGGTGGTGGCCTAGGTGGGTCAGCCCAGCTCACGGCGGAACGTCACCTTCAGAGTCTGTTTGTGCAGCTGCATTCTCAGCATCTTTGGCCAACACCCTCCTCCCAGCCTCAGCCCTGCCCAGAGTTCAGGTCCACTCTGAGTGACTCGGTACAGGACAATCAGGAGATGGGGCTGTGGAGACAGTGGTGGTGGCCAATGGGGGGAGAGAAAGGCACACTGGCTCCAGTTCAAGGCGCTCCTGACCCTCGGCCCCCTGGCTCCTACAGAGTGGCGCCTGCCCGAGGCCCAGTGTGGACCTGGCCCGGAGTACTGCAGGGCTGGGATCCTCTCACCCGCCTTTCCCAGCGCCGTGGGTGTTCTCCGTCCTCAGTGCGGCCTCCAGCCGGCCTGGAGGTCATGTGACCCTGGCTGTCTGGTCCTGAGGCCGCCTTTTTTCCCTTCTAATCAAATAAACAAAGACTCCAGTGTCTTGCAGCCCTACTCCCCCGCCTCCCCATCCCCACGCCCCTGCCCGTGAGGTCACAGGCAGCCGCTGCCAGGAAGCAGGGTGGCCACTGCTGGGCCCTGCTGCCCCACTGATCTTGGCCAGCCGGGCCCTTTCCTCTGCCCTGCTGCCTCTTCCCCTCCCGCCTTTTCCTCTCAGCCATTCTGCCCTTCCCCCTTTCCCAGGCTGGAGGGCCCATTCTGTGGCTGGTCTCATTAGCATCCAAGCTCCTAGCTGACCTCTGTGCCCGGGCTTCTTGGAAGGGCTTGTGCTGGACCTGTGTAGCCATTGGTAGCCGATCAAGCTGAGACTTCTTGGGATTTCTTCTGATTGTCCCTCTTTGATCCTGGCTCACCAAGATTACAGGTGCCTCAGGTGGAGGAGTTGGGACTGCAACTTTATAGTCCCCCTCTGGGAGCCCTGGGCTGGCACAGTGGGGCTTTCTGAGGCCATTTTCCTCTCAGGGAGCTGACACCACATGGCCGCTGGCCGCAGGGGAACAGGCACAGTGTGAGCCACTCCAACAGTTCTGCTGTCATCCCTTTGAGGCCCAGAGGAGTGGAGAGTAAAACTTGGCCTCCTGACTCTCCGGCCCAACCCCTGTACCCGCAGCCACTGACTTCAGACAAGTGCTTCCCTGCTCCTGGGTGCCACTGCCTGTACTAGCATGGGCCGTGCCATCTCGGAGCCCCTGAACAGGAGCAGCACTGGGGTCAGAGGGGTGGCCCCAGACCCCTTCCCCACCATGGGGCTGGGTGGCCTTTGCAGTCCCCGGGTGCACTGCAGTCCCTCCCCCAGCCATAGCAGCCCCAATGGCCAGGATGAGAGGCTGTTGCCAAGGTGTCCTGGGGTTTCTGACTTAACTGCAGATTGGCTGCCAGGATCGAATTTACCCTGGTCATGCAAATGAGCATTTGGCAGTGCCTGGCCCGGGGGTGGGGGGGGTGGGCAGGGCTCCGTGTGAGGAGGAGGCTGTGTAGCCAAGAGGAAGTTATATAATGAGGATGCTGAGGGGCCTGGCCAAGTGCACCCTGGAGTTATGTAACTGGGAGAGCAGAGAGAGAGAGAGAAGGCGGCAGGGCTGGGCAAGCTGGAATACCAGCAGAGGGATGGAGGTCTCGTGGTCAGAGGGTGGGCATGGGCCCCAGATGGGGCGAGGGAAAGAGCCTCGGGCTGTCATTCATTTATGGCCATTCAGTAATGGTCATTCAGTAATGGTTTACCAAATACCTACTGTGCGCAAGCCCTGGCTTTCATCCTGTTTAATTCCCTCAGCATTGTTTTGTAGCTGGCAGTGTTATCCCATCTCACAGATGAAGAAGCTGGGACAGTTTGTCCAGAAGGAAGAAAGCTGCTTTAGTTGCTATCACTAACCATTCACTCCGACCCAAGTCAGCACTGTATTTATTTATTTACCTTGCAGTACTGGGAATTGAGCCCAGGGCCTTCGCACTGAGCTACATACTCAGCACTTTTTTTATTTTTTATTTTGAGACGGGGTCGGGGTCTTGCAAAGTCGCTAAATTGACCAGTTTAAGGTCAAACTTGGGATCCTCCTGCCTCAGCCTCCCAGAGTGCTGGGATTACAGACATGCACCACCACACCCAGCTTCTAGATTCATCACTTTAGATACATTTTTTAAAAAAATTTAAAAATTGTGGTTGGACACATGTAACAAAATTTACCATCTTGCTAGGCATGGTGGTGCCCTTCAGAGGCTGAGGTGGGAAGATCATGAGATTAAGGCCAGCCTGGGGAACATAGTAAGACCCTGTATCAAAATTTTAAACATTGGGCCAGGGATTTAGCTCAGTGGTGCTGCCGCCTGCCTCACAAGCGAAAAGTCCTGAGTTCGATCCCTGGTACCAAAAAGAAAAAAAATTTTTTTTAATTGTCCTACCTGAACATGGGTGGCATGTAGTTCTGTGGGTGTTAAATACATTAATAATGTGATGCAGCCACCACCACATCCATCTCCAGAACTCTTTTCATCTTATAAACCGGAAACTGTTGCCTATTAAATGCTAACTCCCCATTCCCTCTTCCTCCAGCCCTGGGCAACCACTATTCTGCTTTGTGTCTCTGTGATTTTGACTGCACTAAGTACCTCATGGGTGGAATCATACAGTCTTTTTTCCTTTTTTATTTTGAGTTCAGGCTGGCCTCAAACTTGCAAGGATCCTTTTGCCTCAGCCTCCTGAGTGCTGGGATTACAGGCGTGCCCACCACACCCAGCAGTGTCCTTTGTGCCTGCTTATTTCACTTAGTATGACTTTTTCAAGCTTTGTCCTGTCCATGTTGTAGCATGCGTCAGAATTTCCTTCCTGTTTGAGTCTGAATAATATTCCATTGCAGGTCTATACTACATTTTGTTTATCTACTCATCTGTGGACGCTTAGATGGCTTCCACCTTTTAGCTATTGTGAATAATGCTGCTGTGAACCTGGGTATATAAATTAGACACATCTTTTATTTTTATTTACTTATTTTTTTTTTGGTACCCGAGATTGAACTCGGGTCCTTGTGCTTGTGAGGCAGGTGGCAGAACTGCTGAGCTAAATCCCTGGCCCCACATCTGTTATTTATTTATTGTTTTGCAATGCCAGAGATCCAGTGCAGGACCTGTGCATGGTAAATGTACTCTGCCCCAGAGCTGTACCCTCTGTCTCAGCTACATCAGTTTTTATTAATGATCTTCTCGTGCCGGAGGCAGATTGCAGTGGTATTCTCTTTTACAAATGAGGAAACTGAGACCCAAGGTCAGATGGCAACGAGTGGTAGATGGCCCGGCTCAGCAGCCCGACTGCCCTGTCTAGTGCATGAGGGGCCCTTTGTGTCCGTGCTCCCTTCTCTGGGCCTGGGCAGGGAGGCGGCTCTGGGCTGCCCTGTGATTCTGATATGGGCACTCCGAGCTCTTGTCTGTGGGAAGGGACCCCTGCGTGGTGGCCGAGGATCAGAAGAGATTGCTTTAGTCCACCTTGGACAAGCATCATCTCATCTGGTGAACCCCACTTTCTTCATCTTTGTGATGAGGGGGTTGGTGTCCTCTTTACAGTCCAAGATTCAAGGGCAGAAGCGAGACCCTGGGTCCGCAGGAGTCGGGCATGTTTTTCAGCCAAGGCCAGGGCTGGGTGTGGGGCCCACCGGGGACCCTAAGTGGCCTCGATCCTGTCTCCTCTCTCCTGCTCACCCTGGCCTGGGTGTAGACCAAGACTGTTCCTTCTTTACAGAGCAGGAAGTGCAGAGACCAGGCAGCCAGCCTGGGGGGCCTTCTCTGCCAGAACTTTCTCACCCCTGCGCCCAGCCCCTGGTGTCAGACCTGCTGTGGGGTCATTTTGGTTTGACTATGGGATCTGGGGTGGGAAGCTTCATGAAGACCACAAAAGTGCTGGGCATAGTGACACCTGCCTATAATCCCAGCACCCGGGAGGCCAAGGCAGGATTGCCATGAATTCGAGGCCAGCCTGGGCCACATAGACTGTCTCAAAAAAAATCCACAAACAAACAAACAAAAAGCCCAGCAAAACAAAACAAAGCTACCCCAAAGTCAAGCCCTGTGAAATATCTGTGATCCACCCCACCCATCTCCCTTGCAGGTCAGTGACATCAAATTCCAGGCACCCAGCGGGGAGGAGAAAGAGTCCTGGATCAAAGCCCTCAATGAAGGGATCAACCGAGGCAAGAACAAGGCCTTTGACGAGGTGTGTCGCAGCCCTGTGGCTATGTTCCTTGGGCCCAGGTGGCAGGCAGTGACCGTGCCCCAGACTCCCCCATGATTTTGTCACTGCTAGAAATTCTGAGGTATCTGGGGGTATCTCCTGTAATCCTCCTGAAACAGTCTCTCAGAGTGGGGGTTGGTGCCCTTTAGAGATAAAACTGAGCCACGAGGGAATTAAAAGGTTTAAAAGCAGTGACACCATGCTCAGCATGGTGATACACATGCCTGCAAACCCTAGCACTCTGGGATGCTGAGGCAGGAGGATCAAAGGCTAGTGTCCAGTCTTAGCAAGACCCTGTCCTAAAATAAAAAAATGAAAAAGGGCTGGGGATGTAGCTCAGTGTGAAGGCCCTGGGCTCAATCCCCAGTACCACAAAACCCACAAAAAATTTGTCAGTGGTGGGGTAGAATTGAACTGGTTGTAGCCTCAGGGGGCAACAGCAGGTGGCCCAGGCCCCAGAGCCCGGGGCGAGCAGGAGCTCCCTTCCCAGTTTGGCCATGAAATCCAAGCCACCTGGCTGTGAGCCTCTAGCCCACAGACATCAGCCCCACCCTGTAGAGGTGCCTTGGGGAGCAACGGCTATGATCAAGCGGGGTTGGGGGGGTGTCCCCTGATGAGTTTCTTTCCTTGTTGTGGTGCTGGGGATTGAACCTAGGGCCTCGTTCTTTTTCCAGGGCCTTTTTCTTTTGTGGCCTTCATACTCACTGGCCTTAGCCAGAAGCAGGTGCCCTGCCACCGAGCTATATCACAGCCCATTTATCTTGGGCATCATAGATCCTTAGCTACTTGGGTTAAAATGGACATGGGGCCACCTTGAATGAGACCTTGATTTGCAAAAGATAAGATTTGAGGGTGACAACCTTCGTAAGCAAGGCCTGTGGCTCTTGTGTTCTCTCCTGTCACTGTCCTGCTCTCCCTTCACTGCCCAGGGCATGGCTCCTATTTTGGCAGAGAGGATGATGGGTGGCCACATTGTGGGAACTGGGGTGACCACAGGAGCCATGGCCTGGGCCTCAGCGGAGTCTCAGCAGTGCAGAGGAACAGAGACAGCTGGAGCCCGTCAGGCCACAGCACTCCCACTTCCTGGGAGGGATATGCCACCTCAGGCTCCCACCTGTTTTCATCCCTTTCCTGGCCCTCAGAGAGGAGCTGCTGTTCTCCAGACTCCTGGGCCCAAGGGCAGAGGCCCAGCTCTTTCCTGGGTGTCCCCAGGGCCCAGGAGAATGGGCGAGGCCAGGGCAGGCAGTACTGTGTGGGTTACGGCACCAGGGGAGCGGGGTCTGGCTCCTGTCCAGTCCCCAGCAAAGCCCCAAGGTGGCCTCCAGACTGCTTAGATAACTGCAGTCATACAAGGAGTCAGGGCTGGGGGCCCCTTGGGCAGAGAGGCTGAGGCAAGGGGGCAGCTGCTGTGAGGATGCGGGGCGCCTCGGGTACCTCCCACTCCACCTAAGGCCTGGCGGGTGCACTGACCTGCTTCCCTCTCCTCCTCAGGTGAAAGTGGACAAGACCTGCGCCCTGGAGCATGTGACGCGGGACCGGGTACGCGGGGGCCAGCGGCGGCGGCCGCCCACCAGGATCCACCTGAAGGAGGTACGGTCTTGCCCTCAGCATGGACAAGGGATGACAGTGAGCCTGAGGCCTCAGCTCCTCAGTGGCAGCCAGGCTCGGGATGACCCCTTTCCTGAGGACGCCAGGAGCTGGTGCTCACTGAGTGGTGAGCCTGCAGTGGCAGAAAGGGCAGTGGCAGCACCTGTGTTGTATGTGCTCAGGGTGTTGTTGTCCCCAAGGCCATGGTCTTGTTCATTTGGGGTCCACACACTGGGCAGAGTTGGCCACAGGAAAACTAAGGCCCATGAGGTGAGTCTGCCCCTCAGAGGTCTGCTTCCAGCCGGAACAAACCTGTCCACGGACAGGACGGGGTGAGCTGGCAACCAGGCTGGACAGCTCAGGGTGGATGAGTGGCTCTGTCTGTGTGGGAGGCTGGCTGGGAAGGTGGGATTGGGGGAGGAAGCTTCGATGCAGAGTTGGGGATGTGATGGAAGATTCCTTCCAGAGGTCAGTCTGAGGCCTGGGCAGGGTGGGTCAGAGTGAGAGAGGGAAAGGCAGGCGGCCAGGAAGGAGTGGGAGACTGGCCCTCCAGGCCCAGGAGTGGGAAGAGGTTGGCTGATGGGAGACATGAGGAGCAAGAGCCACCCAGTTTGTGCCTTGGTACTGGTGGACAGAGCAGGAAGGTGCCCTGGAGCCTGGGTGGAGGGAGGCCTGGGTGCAGAGAATTTGGGAGACAGTGGGTAGGGGAGGGTGAAGGAGGGGAGGAGCCTCTTTCAGACCAGTAGAGCTGACAGATGGGGCGGGGGGATGGCTGAATAAGAGCTCAGCCAGTGCAACGTTTGGGCTGGAGAGGGGAGCAGCTAGCAGCAGCCAAGGAAGAGACCGCCAGAGAGGCAAGGGCCTCCCGAGGGACGGGCACAAGACCCAGGGCCATCAGCCAAGTGACAAGGGCGGGCCTGAGGAAGAGGCAGCACGTATTCTGAGAGAACTCAGCTTAGGGCTCTTATGAGATACAGAACCGGGGGTGCCCTGGAGAGAAGGGGCCTTGGGCAGGAGGCACCCCAGGCCATTGGAGGGTTTGTTTTGAGACACACCGGCCTGTTCTTGTCTGTACCTAGGGAAGAGGAGCCTGCAGAGGGAGGGGTGAGGAGCCTGAGAGCAGGAGACCTGGACAAGGAGGGGGCCCAGCCTGGGAGGAGCCTCAGAGAACCCAAGAGGGAGGAGGGGGTGGCTCTCCTGGTCTCCGGTGATTCAGGGTGGGTATTGGCCTGATCTCTTGGTGCATGTGAGAGGAATGAGGGTTCCAGCCAGACCCCTCCATCTGAGGGATTGTGGGAGAGGTCTCCTGCCTGCCCGGCCCCACTCCATGGCCTCCTGGGCTCCCTGAGAAGGTCCCTGTGGGCCCCTGAAGTCGGTGTCGCTGTTTCCCTTTCACCTGTGCCCTGGACCACAGAATGAGCTGCTGAGGGGCTCTCGGGTGAGAGAGCTGGAGATGACTTGGGGTACCTGCATCAGATCCAGTGGCAGTAGCCAAAGTGACACCTGGATCTTGTCTCCCCACAGGTCGCCAGTGCAGCTTCCGATGGGCTTTTACGCCTGGACCTTGATGTGCCAGACAGTGGCCCACCAGAGTTTGTGCCCAGCAGTGATGTCAGTGCGGCCCAGCCCCAGCCCCGGGCGGCACTCATGCCTCCTACCAAGCCTTCCCCAGAGTCTGAGACCACCAGCCTCTGTGACAGCGTGGAGCCCCCTGCCGCGGAGAGGCCCCCAACCCCCATCTCAGCAAGTGCCGAGGCCCAGCCTGAGAGCCCCTCGGACTCCAAGAACCCCACAGAGGAGGACAGTGGGTCTGAAGAGCCGCCCATCAACACCTTGGCTGACAAACTGAAGGTGAGCTGGGAGAACCCCAGCCCCAAAGAGCCTGCTGCTCCTAAGGAGCCCCCTGCTCCCCCGAGTGTGGAACTGTCCCCTGGGCCCTGTTCGAAGACTTCAGACGCCCCCCGCCGGGAGAGTCGGAGGCCCCCCACACCTCCACCCAAGATCTTATCGGAGAAAATGAAGGCCTGCTTGAGCCGGGTGGAAGCTTCTGGGCCCACCCAGAGTCTAGGGACCCCTGAGCCCTCAGCCCCCACCGCTGCCCACATTTCTGTGAATGGTGTGGATGATGGGCCCGAGTCCCCCAAGCCCTCCCCAGATTCGGGCACCCCAGGAACTGCTCCAGAAGAGGCAGCAGTGTCCCTAGCACAGCCTCACCAGGACCTATTACCTCAGTTCCATCCCCGCTGCTCCTCCCTGGGGGACCTGCTTGGAGACGGCTCCCAGCATCCTCGGCGACCCAAGAATCGGCTGTTCCGAGCCCAGCTGGAGGTGCAGGTGGCCTCAGAGCAGACAGAGAGACTGCTGAGCGAGGTGCTGGGCAGCCAGTCACCCCCGGCAAACACCGAGACCCTGCTGAGCCAAGCTGTGGAACAGCTGAGGCAGGCCACCCAGGTCCTGCAGGAAATGAGGGATTCAGGAGAGCCTGGCCAGGAGGCCCCCTGCCTCAGGGAGAAGCGGAAGGAGCTGGTGATGCTGTACCGGAAGAGTGCTCCCTAGGCTGTTCAGGCCCGGCCCTGCTGAGCAACAAGCAACGTGCTCTGCAGCCCGGGCACTAAGAGGGCATTGTGTGAGTAGGATTTGGCCAGGACTGGACCTTGTATCCTGCCAGTCTGCCCAGCTTGGTGCCAGGGACACCCGAGTCACTGTGTGGCTCTCTGGTCTGGCCTTGCCCCAGGGCTCTGGGCTGCGGCCGGGAGCACATGCTCAGCCTGAGTGCCTCAGAGTTGTTCCACACCATCCCAGGGCTCTGGCACTGTGCTGGGGGCTCTGGGGGTGGCATGGCCTCTGCTCCCCACCCCTAGTAGTTTACATTCCTGACTTCCGAATAGACCACAGCTGAGCCCCGGTCTCCAGACACCCTGGGCTGACCACCTCCTCCCGCAGCTGCAGTTTCCTGGGCCCAGCTTCAGGGCCGGCTGGGTCTAAGCCGGTGGGAAGCCTCTGAGTGAGGAAGCATTGGCTACCTTGAGGCCCTCCGTGTGCCTGCTTCCTTTCCTAGGGCCCTGTCCCTTTGGGGCTGTGACTGGAGGCTCAGGTCTGGGGGATTCGGGGAGAAGAGGAACCCACGGGTCTCCTGGTTTAGTCCACTCCTGGACCAGCCTGTGTTCAGCCTTGCATACTCTGGAGGACTGGTGTCACCAAGCAGACAGCTGTGTGTAACTCATCAATTCAGGCTTCAGGATGCCCTCCCCGTCCTGTGCTTCCCTGGTGAGATCCAGTGGGATCTCTTGGTTCCTCCTTGGCCCAGACTGCTGTAGTGTCCCAGTCATTTCCTCACATGCTGCCCCGAGGCCACCCCCAGGCCCAGGCCCCTGGTGGGCTGCCTGTCCTTATTTCCCATTAGGAGGAGCCTTTTCTCCCCATGTTGCTCCCTTCCCAGTGCCCTCTCTGTCCCGTCCCTGGCTCTGGGAGCACCTGTGGGCCTGGGGTGGAGCCTGGCTGGGGGGCAAGTGTGTGTTGGGGGGCAGACCCGGAGGTCTCTGCATGTGCACTTTTGTTTACTAGAGGAGAAGGAGATCACTGCAGCCTGTCCCGGCCTTTCTGTCACCAGTCGTGCCCACTGAGCCCTGCCAGTGCAGGCCACCGCCATCCTTGCTGTACTGTCACCTTGTTCTGGGAAGTTGTGGACAGGGGAGGAGGGGCAGACGTGAGCCACACTGCCATGGTTCACACCCCCCTAGCAGCCTCCCCAGGCCGAAGTCTTCCTGTCCCCTGTCTGTCCTGTATGAGAGCAGGAGCGTCACCAGGTGCTCACTGTCACATGAACCTTGCCACCTTCTCTTAGGAAGAACCTTGCTCCACCAGCAAACAAGTCACCTGGATCTAAGAATTGGAGCCTTGGTGTCCCCTGTCAGATGGTGGCCGGGTGGGGCTGCCTTCCACCTCCTTGGGGAGGAGGCAGTGTCTTTTGCTTATGAAAAGCCTTTCTTGAAGTTTGGCAATAAATCCCTTTTTATGGAACTCTTCTGCCCCAAGCCTTTTTATTGATGTGGGAGTAGAGTAGGTGGGAGTTGGTCAGTGGTGTCCCTCGTCCCCATAGTTGGGCCGGAAGCCCATAGAAGGGTTGTGGTGCCTTCTATTCTCAGCCAGTCCTGGTAGAATTCACACTCTACCTGTTTCCAGGAGCTGGGATTGAGTGTCATAAGGAACAACAGTTTCCCTTTTTTTTTTTTTGGCACCGGGGATCGAACTCGGGATCTTGCACTTGCAAGGCAGGCGGTGGAACCACTGAGCTAAATCCCAGCCCAGTTTCCCTTTTTAAAAAAAATTTTTTTGAGACAGGGTCTTGCTGTATCCAGGCTGGCCTCGAACTCACTGTGGAACCCAGGCCGGCCTTGAGCTCACAGCAGTCCTCCTACCTCCACCTCCCAAGTGCTGGGATTACAGGTGTGTACCACCAGGGTTAAACATTTTTTATTTGGGACTAATCTAAACAGAAAAAGTTGCAAGAATAAGACTAGTACAAAGAACACCCACATACTCTGCGCATCTTTATTGTCTTATCGCTTGCTTTTACAAGGACACATTTTGTTTTTTATTTTTTGCTTTTTCTGAATCATTGGAAAGTTATAATCCTTTACCCCTAAATACTTCTGTGTTTCCTAAAAGTAGGTATCTTTTCTCGTGTAACCACAGTACGTGTATCAGTGTTGGTAAATTTAACATTAGTAGTTTATGTTCCAATTTTGTCATTTGACCCAATAATATCCTTTATTATAGTTTTCTTCCATGTATTATCAAATATTACATATAACTGTTCTCTCTCCCACCCCTTGCTTTTTGTGGCCCTGGAGACTGAATCCAGGACTTTTATACTGAGCTACACCCCAGCTCCTTCTCATATTTTGAGATGGTTTCACTAAATTGTCCAGGCTGGGTTTAAACTTGTGATCCTCTTGCTTCCGCCTCCCACAGTACTGGAATTACAGATGTGCACAACCATGCCCGGCAATTGTCATTGCTCTTTGGTCTCCTTTAACCTGAGATGTTTCCATTCTGTCTTTACCTTTCATGACATTGACATTTTGAAGAAAGAATCCAGGACTAGCCATTCCCAGCTCTCTAAAAGACCGTTCCACATTGGGGGTTTGTTTGAAGTTCCCTATGATTAGATTGGGGTTTGGACACTCAGCAGGGAAACTACCTGGTAGGTTTGGGCCTCAGAGTGTCACATCTGGAGTTACAACACCCGTCTGCCCCTTACATACCTGTTTTTTTTTTTCTGGTACTGGGCATCAAACTCAGGACCCTGTGATTGCCGGCAGGTGAGGTTTTTGGGTTTTTTTTTTAAACTATATGTTTAATTTTTTTGGCAATAATAAGCAATTTAGGGGAGGCACCTGAAAACCAAGTGCAAACCTGTTGCACCTTGCCCTGATTTTCCCCAATTAGTATCCATTGAGGGGCCTTGCTGAACAGGTGTTTCCTATAACAACTAAAATCCAAATGGAGATCCCAGCAGCCTCTCACCCCAAGAACCTGCTCTGGCTAGGGGTGAGTCTGGGCTGTTTCTTGCCTGGGGTCCCCGATACATCCCAGCACCCTGTGAGAGCTCTGGGAAGCCCTGGAGCTGGAGACCGAGCTCCAAGCCAGCATGCCAAATTCAGACCCTACAGGGGGACTTCCCATGAGCCTCAGTCTTGGGGGCCTCAGTTTCCTCACCCACAAAAGGGGATTGCTTCCCAAAGCTGGCCCTTCCTCTCTGAGGGCCACTGGACAGAGCGGCCCTTGGCCAGTATAACAGGAAGCGCCTGATCTGGGCCCTATCAACTGTGGTTGTGACCTTGAGTCCTGCGTGAATTCTCCTGCCACAGGCCTGGCCTGTGACGGCGATATGGAGTGAGCATCCAGCAGAGGCTGGGGAACCTCAGATGAATCACTTCCCCTTGACCGGCTCCTTTATGATGGGAGTGCCAACCCTGACCCAGGAACTGGGTCCCCTCTCTCGGGGGCCACCTTGCAGAGAGCAGCGGGGGGCGGGGGGCGGGAACGGTGTGGGTGACCTACCACAGGCTCCGGAAGGATGTAGTGAGGACTCACTTTTCCTCTGTGCTTGGGGCCTGGAGGCCTGGGAGAGCAGCGGTGTCTTCCTTTTGAACACAGGCTGTGAGTCCAGTGGCCTCAAGTCCTGTGGGCAGTTACAGGGTTGGGTTTTGCCCACCACAAGGTGGCTGTCTTTAGATCTGACCCAGGACGAGGGTGGGGAGGGCCCTGGTGGGAAAGTGGTGTCTTGACTGCCTCTCTCTGCCTCTACCCAAGCCCGGGCCCTGGAATCGTTTTGTGTCTCTGGAGCCACCAAATTTCCGGTTCGGTGCCTCCCCTACTCCCAACAAATAGGGCCCTCAGGAAAAACCACATGAACTTGCCCTTGTGGAGATTCCTGTGACAGGAGGCTCTGTGAGGGAACACAGGGGAGGGAGATGATGGCAGAAATTCCTGTCTGTTGTCATAATCTTATCAAAAAGCAAAGTTCCCTGTAGGAAACACATAACTTTAGATTAGGAGGCAAACACACTGAGGTTCAAACCCTGGGCCCTGGTTCCGCCTTAGCCCTGCAAGAGCCAGCAGGCAAACGGCCCAGGGGTGACTTTTGGCCAAGCCTGCCCCAGTTTCTCCATCTGTACAGTGGGCAGATCCTCCCTTGTCTGCCAGGTTGCCCATGGCCAGCCTGGTAGAAAATGCTGGATCAAGCCCAGCACCCAGGGTCACAGAGCGCCTATCTGCCCGCCTGTTGGTCCCTGTTGTCACAGTGGCCTCATGAGGACAACAGAGGAAACTGAGGCTTAAGCAACTTTTCTAGAAGACCAAAGTGAGTGTCAGGACTTGGGAACTGATCCCCTGGGGCCACTTCGAGTGCCTTCTGCCTGTGTGTGACTTCAGGGGCTGGGCCCGGGGCTCCCCGCGTTCCTGCAGCTGGAGGATGCCCCAGGGCGGTGCCTAGCTCCCCAGCCAGCTGTGGCCTTGCCTTATAAGGACAAGGACTGAGCGGTGATGAAACCACGGGCTCCTAGCAGGGAAGAGGGGGAAGGGAAATGACTGGGGCTCCAGGGCTGCAGCCCAGAGCCTGGGCTTCACAGGAACTCGCCCCCGGCTCGGCTCGTCTCCCCTCCTGCGTCAGCAGCTCAATGGGGCTTTCCAGAAGGGCTCGTGGCAGGAGTGGGGACAGGGTCCAGGCAGGGCCTGAGAGGTCATAGCAGGGGAGGTGACCCACGCTGAGGTCTAGAGAGGGGCTAGGAGCCATTTTTTTCTCTTTTTTTTTTGACTGGGGATTGAACCCAGGGTCTTTGCACTGAGCTACATCCCCAGACCCGACCCCCACCCCCTTTTTATCTTCTGTTTCGAGACAGGGTCTCACTAAGTCGATAAATTGCTCAGGCTGGGCTCAAACTTGGGATTCTTCTGCCTCAGGTTACCAGAGTGCTGGAATTACAGGAAGGCACCACCACAAGAGTTCTGACTCAGAACTCCTCCTGAAGCAGGAAGCACACAGGTCTGGACCCCAATTTCTAGGCCTATCAAGCTCCAGCCTGGTCAGGGCCATCAGAGGCCCTGGAGAGGAGGTGCAGGGAGCCCCTGAGACAGGTCTCCCCTTTGTGCAGACCCACTTTGCCCCTCCCTTTCTTCTCTAGCCTATGTCCCTAGGGTCCTCTGTCCCCTAAGAATTCAGCCCACTCTCTCCCTGAAAAACTCATCATGCAATCACAGGGTGGGGGAGGAGGTGGATAAGGATCTCTGAGTCCATCTAACTCATCTACTGTTTTTCGTTTTTTGAATTTTTGAGACAGAGTCTCCCTACATAGTCCAGGCTGGCCTCAGATTCAAGGCAATCCTCCTGCCTCAGCCTCCCAAATGCTAGAATTACAAGCAATGCACCACTACCCTGGGTTGACCTGCTGGTTTCAGTTGAAAGGAAGTAACAGCTTGGTGGGAGGAGTTTTATTAAAAGTGTGTGTGTATGTTTGGCTCTTCCTTGGTTTCCTATTAAAAGTTCCTTTTTAAGAGATCCCAGCTGGGCCGGGAATGTCGCTCAGTGGTAGAGCACTTGCCTGGCATGCAGGAGCCCCTGGGCTTGATCCCCAGGACTGAAAAAACAAACAAAATAAAACCCACAACAACAATAATCCCCAACTTCTTAGCTGAATACAAGAACAAATGACTTTTCTCCCTTCCGGGTCTGATTAGTTCTGGTCATGAGTCTTCCCTGGAGCCCAGGGCTGGGGCTGGCAGAGGGGAAAGGCCAGATCCTAAGGTGGACGGATGCAGTGGAGAGGGTTGGCCTGTGACACTGCCCTGCATAAGCTGTGTGACAGGAGGCGGCTGCCTAGCCTCCCTGAATCGTAGTCACTGCTCTCAGGGAAGATGGTCATGCCTGGCAGGGAGATGTTGAGGATGAGACGAGTATTTATTTTATTTTGTTACAATTTTCTGGCGCTGGGCTAGCCCAGCACTCTGCTACTCAGCTACACCCCAGCCCTACCATGAGATCATTTAGTTACAGCCTCCAGCTTGGGGCCTGCCGCATGGTAGGGGTTGGTAATCGAGTACTGAAGATGTTTGCTGGATGCCAGCATCACATTAAGTGCTCTGGACTCTGAGTACAGTGAAACAGCAGCCTCCCTGCGTTGCTCCCTGGGGGAGACAGTCACCCCGACTCAGTAAATGAGGGCGACAAGCTCGGTGGGAGACAGATGAGCAGGTTCTACAGAACTGCTTTTGCTAGGGCAATCAGGTGTGGCTTCACAGTGGAGGTCACTTTTGTCTGGGCTTTGACAGAGGAGGAAGAGTTTAGCAAACAGAGGAAACAGAGAAACAGCGTTCTTCAGGGTGGTCTAGTGTTCTGGAGGGAGAGGTGCCAAGGGACAAACTGGAGATGACATGGGGGTCATGATGTTCACCCAGAAAGCTGGACTTTCCCCTAGAGATGGAGAAAAGGTATGGGAGGTGTTAGGAGGCAGGCACAG